ACTTATAACTCTCTAAAGTAAATTAGTGTGAGTCAGTATTATATTTTCATGTCTTATACGTCGGCCACAGCAGCGAGCAGACTAACATAGAACACCACCAGACTGTTCGTTTCTTCTAACTAGCAAACAAAATCACAGAAAACATTACCTGACACATTAACGGACGCTACAGCTGCTATTGAAATAAGGTTAAATTTAACTCTCTTGTTTTATTGTACAACAGACCACAGGAAGTTTGGTCACATGGCGAGCAACTGTTCGTCTGTCTATAATATAAATGTGTCGTTCTCTCTCACATTAGTTTCTACGTCAATGACAACAAAACCAAGTCCTTCTGAGTTAATTTTCACTTGGTAACAGTTCCCATTGAAATTATCCTCGGTTGACAACAACATACACAACTAGGTCCCACTGAAACTATCACCATCAACAACATACACAACTAGGTCCCACTGAAACTATCACCACCAACAACATACACAACTAGGTCCCACTGAAACTATCACCACCAACAACATACACAACTAGGTCCCACTGAAACTATCACCACCAACAACATACACAACTAGGTCCCACTGAAACTATCACCACCAACAACATACACAACTAGGTCCCACTGAAACTATCACCACCAACCACAACTTCTGGCAACAACGTAAAGCACAAAATTCGACTAAAAATTATTCCAGCTTCACAACAGGATCGTCTACTTACATACTGACAATAATGAAGCAGGGGCTGACTGTCGGGGGAATATGTGTGAATGTAGACACACAAATAATGTCTACCTGAGGTGCCATTAGAGAGATTGTTAATACCGAGTGAATTGTGTGTCGAGGAGAGCAAACTGTGTCAGTCTCTCCCTCGTCACCTTCTCATTCTCCCTGCCTCCCTCTTTCTCTCTTCCTCTTGTCTCCGTTTCTCTCTCTCTCTCTCACTCTCCCTTCCTTCCTTCTCTCTTCTACACATTATACATAATCTCCCTGCCGCCTCCACCTGTCTAAGATCTTCTCATGCCTTGTAAATCACTAAACAGCCTCAGGTGTACCTCCTCCCTCCCTCCCTCCTTCCCTTCCTGCACATGCCCTCTTTCTTCCCTCCCTTCCTCCTTCCACATTCCCTCCTTATGCCCTAATTCTTCCCTCCCTCCCTACACTTACACATTTCCCGCTTCCTTCCTTCCTTCATCACACCCTCTCCATGCCCTCCCTCCATGACCCTACTACCCTATGAACCGACTACCGACCGTTGCGGTGCTTTTTAAAGATTAGTAGGGTCATTACCTAATACCTGACCATTGTGGACCTGATCTCACCCTCCTCTGTATATATACACCTTGTTTTGTACTTCTCCTTAGTCTGTACTCACCCCTGAAGATGTGAATTACACGAAAGCGCTTGGGAACTTCGTGTTTTCTTGTGGTTATCAGCATATACCTAGATCACGCGCAACTACAGTGATTTACTTGCATATATATATACTTCATTTTTAGTCCATATAACACGCGTAGAACATATAATCAACGACCTCACCAGCCAGGAATCGAACCCTCGACCTACTGGGTGGGACTAGGGAGTGCTCCCGACTAACCCACAAGGTCAGTGTCCTTGTGGGTTAGTCGGTAGCATTCCCTAGTCCCACCCAGTAGGTCGAGGGTTCGATTCTTGGCTGGTGAGGTCGTTGATTATATATATATATATATATATATATATATATATATATATATATATATATATATATATATATATATATATATATATATCACTCCCTCGTTTCCTGGACTGGTGTATGTTAGGTTAGGTTAGGTTAGGTTAAGTTAGCTGTAATGTCTATTCATTGATTAACCAGCTCGTAAATAATTAATTATCGGTTAATATAATTAATTATACCGGTGGCATCTCCCCCTCCTCCCCGCTCGCCTGGTGATGACTAGAGAACGATAGGTGTTAAGGGAGGAGATTTAGGGGATACTAAAGGATTTATCGTCCGCCCCCTACCATGTGTCGCACCCCTGCCTTCCCACCTACCGGCGGCCTGTCAAATGATTCTGCGTGAAATGTGGAAATGGAGGAGGTGAAATATGAAGCAATATGTAGAGAATATTGATGAAGGGAGTCAGTGTAGGTTCTCACGATGCATACACGGGCCTCAGCACCATAAAAAAAGTGTTCTACATCACAACATTTTCAGTGATGAAATATGTCCAAAGAGAAGAGAGACAAGGACGACGAGGGTGTGTGAGGTCCTCAACTTCTTAAAATTTGTTTCTTGTAGGATACTAACACTTGTGATTCGTGCTTAATGACTCTTAGCAGTGACGCACCTAAAGCTAATACCTAGTGAACGGTGCTTAATGACCCTGATAGCTGAAACACCAACAAAAACAACATTACAATCTACTCATAACCTCTATGGTACAACAAAACTACAATGTAATTATTTTTCCACAACTCAACGATTAAAAAATATCAGAAAAATAATGTGGTTGAGGCAGGAGGAGGGCGAACACTGTCATCCCACAGCCTCAACAAACCCTCAACTGGGAGACGAAATTTCATCAGAAAGTTTGGGACGGGAAGCTGCAAGTTGGACCAGTAAATATAACTCACGTTCCTAGACCTTGACCCTAGATTGAACGAAGGGAACTCACGGAATAATCCCTCTCTTTCTCCTCCTCTCCCTTGCTATCTCTTCATACCTTCATCCTTTCTTCCTTCCCCCTTACTCTCCCTTTCCTTCTTCCTAACTCCCTCTTACCCCCGGCTTCCTCATCCACTCCCCCTCCCCAATCCCACTCCTTATTCCACCCTCCCCACTTCTTCCTCCCTTTGCCCCACCCCATTCCTCTTAAGTCATCGTACTGAAAGGGTCAAGTCATCGTGCTCAAGAGTTAAGTCATCGTGCTCAAGAGTTAAGTCATCGTGCTCAAGAGTTAAGTCATCGTGCTCAAGCGTTAGGTCATCGTACTCAAGGGTTAAGTCATCGTACTCAAGGGTTAAGTCATCGTACTCAAGGGCTATGTCATCGTACTCAAGGGATTAATTCTACGTTAAATTAAATTAGCGACACCTTCCTCTACCCCAACCAAGAACGTTTACACAGTGTATGGAAAGTTAGTTACGGTAACCACATTTAACACAGACAGACAGACAGAGGCAGACAGACAGACAGAGGCAGACAGAGACAGACTCAGCTGATCGACACACCTGGCGGGGAATAAGGACCACTGACGGGAGGGTCGAAATGACAAGGGAATTCCCCGATACACAAGTGAAGCTGGGACGGTGACTACTAGCAGAAGCAGACACCAGCAGCGGGCAGCAGAAGACAGAGAAACAGTGATCACAGAGTAGCAGACATCAGCAGCGGCCGAGGCAAAAATCTTGATCAAACGGAGCAGACACATCGATCACAGGCCAGAAGACACCTCCAGAGACCAGCAGAAGCAGGTATATCGATTACAGGCCAGCAGACAGGACTTCACGGCCTGCATCCTCACACACGCGACCTTCTCATCACCTGGAGCGGTCAGCCCTACCTTCTTTAATTAACTCTGATTACACCTGATACAGCGAGGGGAGGGGGGGCAAAAGGGGTGGCAGTTGTGGTAGGGATTGTAGTAGTAAGGGTGGTGGTGATGGTAGTGGTGGGGATAGTGGTAGTAGGGAGGTGGTAAGGATGTTGGTGGTGGTGGTAGTAGGTATGGTAGGGGGTACAGGTGATGGTAGTGATGGTGGTAGTCATGGGAAGGACAGGAGTGAGGGAAGGAGATACAACTCGGTCCTCCGTGAATCTCGTGTCCCTCTCCCCCACCTGAGACAGCGACCAGCCAGCAGACAGCGACCAGCCAGCAGACAGCGACCAGCCAGTTATGAGCGAAGCTGCAGTCTTACACAGCGCAGAAAAGTAACGTAATTCATAGTAACACGAGATACATAATTTGTCATTATATTTTGTGCTATTGGAAAAAAAATGGAATATTGACGTAATGGACGAGGTGGTAGAGGAGGAGGAAGAAGAAAAACAAGAAAAACATGAGAGAGAGAGAGAGAGCGAGAGAGAGAGAGAGAGAGAGAGAGAGAGAGAGAGAGAGAGAGAGAGAGAGAGAGAGAGAGTACAAAAGATCTGGGCTTACAAAGGCCTGGACATAGAATTAACGAGAGAGATGACAGAGGTAGGTGTGTGTGTGTGTGTGTGTGTGTGTGTGTGTGTGTGTGTGTGTGTGTGTGTGTGTGTGTGTGTGAGGTAGAAACACATTCCAAGTCTCCTGGCGACACTGGAGATGTTGATTATCCTCGTGGAAGGAAAGTACCCCAGGAGAGAAAGGAGGGAGAGAAAGGGGGAGAGAAAGGGGAGGAGATGAAGGAGAGGAGGGAGAGGAAGGACAGAGAGGGATAGATTATTTTGGGAGAGAATGGAAAGGAGAGTTCTGAGGAGAGGAGGATGAATGAGGAGAGGAGGGCGAGAGTGGGGGTGGGGCAGGAGGGAGGGATAGAGGAGAGGAGGGAGAGGACGGAGGGAGTCTGAGGAGTGGAGGAAGGGGCGGGAAGGAGGGGAAGAGATCGGGCAAGGGCGGAGATGAAGGAGGTTGGACGTGAGAGGGGAGGAGGAAAGGATAATGAGGGGGAGGAGAGTGAGGGAGGAGGAGAAGGAGGAGGAGAAGGAGGGGTAGGAGGAGGAGGAAGAGGAGAGGAGGGGAGGCAAGAGGAGGAGGAGGGGTAGGGAGGAGGGGAGGAAGAGGAGAGTGAGGGGAGAGGTAAGAGGAGGAGGAGGGGACAATGAGGAGGAGGGGAGAGTGAGGGGAGGGGGAGAGTGAGGGGGGAGGGGGAGAGTGAGGGGGAGTAAGGGGGAGGGGGAGAGTTATGAGGGGTAAAGGAGCCGCAAATAATTCACTTTTTATTGACTACTATTATAAGCCTCTCACCCTACCGTCTCTCTCACCCTACCGTCTCTCTCACCCTACCTCTTAAGGGTGAAGTCAACCCTAGATGTTGCCTCACCTTTCAGAGATACTGTGAAACTCTCAGGTCCTTCTGTTGCTGTTTAGACCGTTAACGGGTCCTATTTCCACTGTTATTCCTGCTGTTACCGTTCCTTGCTACTGTTGTATGGGCTGTAAACCACGACCTCTCCTCCACTGTTGATTCTGTTACTGTTAATTCTGTTGCAGGTGTTAGCTTCTGTGGGAACTACGCCTCTGTTCTTCTCCTCTGTTATTGTTTATGATCTTTCTCTTCCTCTTCTTCTTTCGTTCACATTCTGGAAAGGAGAGATAGAGAGAATAAAAGATTGCTATTAAAAAGTAACCTAACCTAACCTAACCTCACTCCTCCTTTCCCTCCTTTCCTTCCCTTTTCTCCCCCCCCCCTTTCCTTCCCTCTTTCTTTCCCCTTCCTCCCCCCCTTTCCTTCCCTCTCTCTTTACCCTCCCCCACTCCCTCCCTTCTGCCCGTGAAGGGTGAGGTAAGTAGCACACGTAGCACACATATTAGGTAACAAAGGTAACACGTACACTAGGTAACACAAGTAACACGCACACTAGGTAGCACAGGTAAGACCTACACACAGTAAGTAGCACAGGTAACACACACACTAGGTCTCACACACTTACACATACGAAATCACACACACTAAGTAACACACGTAACATTCAAGGCCAGGTATTGATCCAGTGAAACATTGAATGGTAAGTGTTGGCAGTGTGGGAGGTGAACCAATTGTGGTAAAAGATTCGAGAGAGAGAGAGAGAGAGAGAGAGAGAGAGAGAGAGAGAGAGAGAGAGAGAGAGAGAGAGAGAGAGAGAGAGAGAGAGAGAGAGGTGTGTGTGTGTGTGTGTGTGTGTGTGTGTGTGTGTGTGTACTGTCCTCAGCCACGGAAGGTATTCTGAATGTGAAAGGAAAGTTGGAATGATAGAACTGGGTTGTTGCGTAATAATAATGTATGTATGTGTATGTATGTATGTATGTATGTATGTATGTAGTGTATGTATGTGTCTAAGCTCTTTACGTGTGTTTGTGTGTTTATTTACGTTTATACGAGAGAGAGAGAGAGAGAGAGAGAGAGAGAGAGAGAGAGAGAGAGAGAGAGACCACACTCACGTAACACAAACTTAACACTAATTACCCCAAAATAATAAAAATACTCATCAAGATTATACGTCTCTTCTCCCTCACTCCAACCAAGACAAAAATCCATGAACAACTATCGGAAATTTTACCGCCTAAGACCTATTAATTGATATTCAATACCAATAGTTCTTTTCCAGTCGTAATTCTTAACAAAAAGGAGAATAGTTCCGCCTCACATAAACGAGAATATTGACAAGTTTTTTTTATATGCACCTACAGAGAAAATTCATTACTGGTTCAAAAAACGCGTTTCATTATTTTCTTTTTTTTCGATTCAATAACCTCAATATCAGAAGCCGTACACCATGTTTACACTTAAATGAACGCGTCTGGTGGAGGGTGGCCGCAGCCATTCTCTGTTTATCTGTTTATATATATATATATATATATATATATATATATATATATATATATATATATATATATATATATATATATATATATAGTTTTATTTTAATTACAATATTGGTTGCTCAGTGAACAGGACCAAAATCACGATTTAATTGTGGTGGTGGGAGCGGCAGTAGGGGATGGTGATTCAGGGTGGGCGCCCAAGGGCCTCTAGCTTCCAGGGGCCTCGCGCTCTCCTGGTTAGTAGTTATACAGTTCAGATGCAACACAAACTAGTTAAAGAGGCTGTGCTGAGGGGAAGCATTTTAGAGAAAGACTAAAATATACGAGTCATCAAATGAACACTTGTTCAACTTAACCAAATGGATGGAAGTGAAAAGAACGTTGTTTTCAGTGAACACCATAGATACACTCATGTTACAAGACTTAAATAAAGAAAAGGAACAGTGGTGATCGGTTCTAACACGTATTATAGCAGTTGTGCAGTGCCTAGCTGAGCACAACTCTGCTTTGGACAAGTCAATGAGTGTTGAAAATTCTCACGACATTGACGAAGCCAAATTGTTTCCAGAGCTTCCAGTACAGTACTCCGAGAACTCATTCACAAAGAAACAAAAAATGCACTTCAGGTCCTTCCTTCAGTTTCTCAACGGTTCCTTTCCTAATGCAGAAATAGAGTATAGGAATTTGATGACAGTCACAGTGGCATCAGGGGAGCTACCTAAGGACAACTATGTCTCAAGAGGGGTTGAGTGGACTGGCTGTGTTGTCCATCGAAAAGGAACTGGCAGCAAGTTTGTGCTATAATGGACAGAGAGCAAGGAAGGTTAGGTTACAGCCGTTAGTTATGACGTCACAGCCTTCAGTGACGACTTCACACCGTCGGTCGAAGGGTAGGGTGTGGGGAGAGGGGGGTGTGGGGAGAGGGGGGGGGGGTGGGGAGAGGGGTGTGGGGAGAGGGGGGGGAGGGTGGGGAGAGGGGTGTGGGGAGAGGGGGGAGGGTGTGGGGAGAGGTGGGGGGGGTGTCACGTGACTGTCATTGGTTGTGTGTGACGGGCCGGTATTACCTGCCTCTTCTCTCTCCCTTCCTTTCTCTCACCTTTCTCACTCCCACTCTTCCCCACTCCCACTCTGCCCCTCTTTCTCACTCCCACTCTTCCCCTCTCTCACTCCCTACCTTAATAACACACTCCAGGTGACAGGTCTCCTACATAACAAAAGATTACTTTCCTCACCCCACCCACAGGAGGTCCTACCCATCACCTATAAATAACCTGACCTCCAACGACCTCACCTGACCTCCATCGACCTCACCTGACCCATTAAACGAGGGAGATAGCTGGAGCAAATCATCCTTGAAATAAAGAAGATAATTGGTTAGTTGTCTCCACAGTTAAAGGTATTGTTGACATTACGGCCACACCGGTATGCAACGAAGGATGTGATTGGATGAGGGTATTTATGTCAACAAGAGGTGCTATTGGTCATCTTTGCCAGAGGAGTATACACTCTTAAGGATACCTATACTATATTTATGTATATACAAACTCCCGCAAGAGCCACTCAAAGTATACATTATCAGTATGCAATCAATAAAACGCACACGCACACACGCAACCCCCCCCCCCACCACTCACACCCACACTTGCATGTTACCTGGCCATCAGACTGACCTATACTGGCTCAGGGGTTCAGGCTATCACAATTCAGGACCAATTACTGTATTTTGTGGAAGAGAATAAATTGACCAGAGTCCAACAGGTAGAAACTTCCCATTTCTGACTCCCCAATTATTGCATTTTGTTGCTATAAAATAAATTACTTCCTGACGTACGAGTTCAGGGGCCTTATTTCAGGTCCACCAATTAAATAACTTTGTATCTGGGATTAAATATGGGTTGGGTTGGGTTAAGTTAGGTTAGGTCCCTCTCGCCTTCCCTCCAGCACTACCTTCACCATCAGCTCACGAACTCGCTTACTCTTAACAGTTAACCTAACCCCGAGCCTTGCTGTCAGCCGCGATGTTCCGTCACCTTAACCACCCGTAGACAGACAGACAGAGAGAGAGAGAGAGAGAGAGAGAGAGAGAGAGAGAGAGAGAGAGAGAGAGAGAGAGAGAGAGAGAGAGAGAGAGAGAGACACAACACACACACACACACACTTCATCAATACTAAAACAAGAGTTCATTGATCCCCCTTCTATATTCATCAGCGCTAAAATGAAATTCACTTCAATATCAGGAGCTGGATTCACTTAGCATTCTGTACGATTATTTTGTATCCTGACTGATGCTAAGTGAACGTGTCTAGTTAAGGCAGAGTATTTAACCTTTTCCCTATAACTGGTACTAAGTGAACGAGTCTAATTAAGGGTCTTTAGTGTAATTGTTTCTAATGTTCTGACCTCACTAGGGGAAAGGTCACGGCAGGGTTAGTCTCCTAGCTGATAATTATCAGATATGCCAAAGGTTATGTGTGGGTCTGGGGTCTGCGAGTTTGTTGGCTAAGCTGAATGGGCCATGGAAGAATTGGGAGAGGGCCAAGGAAGCAAATAGAGAGGGCCACGTTGGAGCAGAACCTGAAATTAAAAAAGAAGAGATGGCGAGATTGAAGGAGGTGGACAGGAAAGCCGAAAGGGGTTCGACGAAAATTCAAGAGAGGAAGGCCAGAGGAGAGGGATGACCAAACTGGTGATGAAGAAACACGCCACATATGTCAACAATGACATCAGCAGCTAAGTGTACCAACTTTTCAGTCTTGATAGACAATTGGACGCGTACAGTCAGACAGGGCTGGCTGCCAGCGCATAAAAACTTAATTGTTGCAGACTCACAGGTAAAGGTACTGACAGCTTTGTGGTAAAAAAAACATAACAGATGAGGGTGGCTGCTGCCAGTGAGCTGGGGTGGGGATATATCATTAAGGATGGACAATGTCTTTTGCCCCAGGGCGGGAACAAAACCCATTAACATTCTGCCCGTGCAGAGTAAATGCATACATACCTCAGGGAGCGAGAGCTTCTGACAAGTTCAAAGCAGCTATAGATCGTATTAGACGAAGGAGGATCCCATCATAGTGCGGTGTCCTGCCTAGAAGGAGAGCTGGCAGAATGGTTGTCAACGGCAGTTGGGTGTCAAATTGACTGTCTTGACAGATATTGCAAGTCAATATCAGTCCCATTCATTGACAACTGGGACAACTTCTACGGCAGAAGGGACCTTTATGCTAGGAATGGGGTGCACCTGTCTAGGGATGGGGTAGCAACCCTGGCTGGGGCTCTAGAGGGGGCAGTTCAAAAGATACCGAAGTCTCTAAACTGCTAGGAGAACATATGAGCACGGGGGTGGAGGAGACTGCAGTGTGCAGTGGGAGCGAGTAAACAAAGTGAAAGATTACAGGGAAATAGTGTTAGGAATGATGACAAAACTAAATTAGACAGGGAGTTTAAAACTAAACGCGGTAAGGGGAGGACTCAGAACACGTTTAACTTAAATGTATAGTACGCAAACAGTAGAAGTATGAGAAACAAAATGGATGATATTAGGGCCTTGGTATGTACCGAAAAAATCGATATAATAGCATTCACTGAAACATGGATCAACCTAGACACACGTGAGTTACCGGTCGAATACCAAATTGCGGGTTACAAACTGTTCCATACCGATAGGCAGACCAGGAAAGGAGGCGGAGCAGCAATCTATGTTAGGGATAATCTGAAGTGTGAAATAAATAAGGAAATAAAACTGAGCGGAATACAGAAACAATTTGGATAGAATTAAGC